CTCCCAACCAAAGGGGCCTTTGTCATCTCAACCTTCATGGTTTTCTTAGTGCTGAGAAGTCCCAGTCCCATAGTGCCTGCCCAGTGCCACAGATGAGCAGGCCTGTGACTGGAGGCATCTCATGTTCTCTGGGAAACCAGAGACACTGTTTTCACGGCACCATTGTTTTACCACCTCTTACAGTGCTTATAGTGGTTAATTCTGGGAATGAACTTGATGGGTCTTGTGAGGGCTGCATCTTTTGGGACACCTCTTGCATCCATGCTTAAGTTACACAAAGGCTTATTGGTTTGCATCACTATTAAGATTAATTAAAGATGATACTTGTCAATGGCCAGGATCCTTTGAATTGGAAAACTACTAAATTTAAAAAAATTTAGTTAGAGTGCTCTCATGCCAAACAGTCACCTTACTGGCACCTGTGGAAAGGGGACACACAGGAGTACTGCTGCTAACCGTACGGACTCCCTTAACCAGATGAAAGAACAGAAATTACCACATCCAATGTCAATTCCCTTCTCGAAGTCCAGCTCTGCCTGCCTGTTGTTGTTTTTTCAAGTATAGTTTACATTCAGTGTTATTTTGTATTAGTTTCAGGTATACCACATAGTGGCTAGACAATCATATATTTTACAAAATATCCCATATCCGATATTTCCAGTACCTACCTGGCACCATTCATAAAATTACAGTATTATTGACTCTATTTCCTATGCTGTACTTTATATCCCCATTACTGTTTGGTAATTACCAATCTGTACTTCTCAATTCCTTCACTTTTTTTCACCCAGCCTTCCCATACTCCCCTCTTTTCTGGCAACCATCAGTCTGTTCTATCTATGAGTCTGTTTCAGTTTTGTTTGTTCTTTAGATTCCACATATACCTGAAATCATATGGTATCTGTCTTTACCTGTCTGACTTATTTCACTTAGCATAATGCCCTCTACATCCATCCATGCTCTCACAAATGGTAAGATTTCATTCTTTTTTTATGTCCAAGTAATATTCCACTATATATATGTACCACAATCTGCCTGTTTTAACTTCCCTGGGGGTTATATAGGTTACTCAGGCATGAAATTGAGAAGAATCATGTCCTTGGTGGATGTAGTTACCTCTATATTCAGAACGTCCTACCAATTTTAGAGAGAAGTCAGAGAGATTACTATCAAAACCCCGCTCACAGGGACCTTGATGCTACTGCAGTTATCAGACAAGCCAGACGGCTCTGGGGAAACCCTCTCACAGGGGAGCCGATTACTCAAGGGCTGGAAGAAGCAACAGTAGAGCCTTTCCCCCTAAGGTGAACTGATCCAAGGTTGAACACCTTATAAGGCTTTTTAAAGGCATACTGCATTACACCCTGCAGCTTTGCATACAGGCATCTTTTGATTCCCATCTTAACTGAAAATCTGCAGGTAGTTGGATGGATGGTCAAGACTGTTATTTTACAAACTGGATTCTTTGCCAAACCAGAAATGTGGCTCTAGAAACATTTCAAAGTCTACCTATCTTTACCAACCCCAAAATCTACCCTGTTCCTCTCAAAATGCTTAGCGATATTTAGAACAGAATTGTCCTAAAAAGAGGAAAAATTTAAATAGTAATTATCCTACACTTCTGATAACAGAGAAATACGTCTCACAACTCCTAAGAGAAAACCTCAGGAGGTAACCAAAACACTACCCCCAAACACCTGAGACTGAAAAGGAAACACCTCAGGAGGTAACCAAAACACTACCCCCAATCACCTGAGACTGAAAAGGACTTTCTACAACACAGACGGCTACAGAAGCTCCCAGCCCCAGATCTAGTCCAGAGCCTCCATAAGATTACTTGTCAAGGGCAAATATACATCTTGGAAGTCTTCTCCACAAATATTAGTAAAAACCATCAGCCATTTGAGCAAGTAATCTTAACTTGTTCTACCAGAGACACAATTTTGATTCAACTGTTATTTATAAACTAGTGAGTTTTGTATTATTATTTTTTAAAATATATTTTATTGATTTTTTACAGAGAGGAAGGGAGAGAGATAGAGAGCTAGAAACACCGATGAGAGAGAAACATCGATCAGCTGCCTCCTGCACATCTCCCACTGGGGATGTGCCCGCAACCCAGGTACATGCCCTTGACCGGAATCAAACCTGGGACCTTCAGTCCGCAGGCCGACGCTCTATCCACTGAGCCAAACCGGTTTCGGCGAGTTTTCTATTATTGTACCTGACTCATGGCTAAAATTTTGGAATTGAAGCTATAGGGCAGCAGTTCTCAACCTGTGGGTCGCGACCCCTTTGGCGGCCGAACGACCCTTTCACAGGGGTTGCCTAAGACCATCCTGCATATCAGATATTTACATTACGATTCATAACAGTAGCAACGAAAATAATTTTATGGTTGGGTCACAACATAAGGAACTGTATTTAAAGGGCCAGAAGGTTGAGAACCACTTCTATAGGGTCTCTGAGTCAGTGTGTTTGTGAATGTCCATGGATGGATATACGTATGTTATGTATATGTGATACTTTCCTCCAATCGGATGGTACTGCCAAAATTAATTTGTAAAAAAGCTTTATTTAATTGGCTTAAAAATAAGCACTTATTAAGTTAAATAGTTCTAAACTCTCAAAAAGAGTTTAGAACTAACTCAAATGCTTTTCAAATTTACATGATCTGGGATAATCTTTAGTTAGAAAAAAAGTTTGTTAGTTTAATTACAATAGTCATGTTTTCAGAGTTATTCGCATTTAATATAATGTTGACATACTTTTGTTCTACCCCGGTTTCTTAGTAAAATAAGCTCATGTTACAAAATTTATCATTAATGGTTATCTACTTTAATGTCTCATGAAATTTTCACAAGTAATCTAAATATTTTTAAGAAAAAGTAAATTAAAGTTTGTAAGTGAACTTTTCAATACAAGTAATCTAAATATTTTTAAGAAAGAATAAATTAAAGTTCGTAAGTGAACTTTTCAATAATAGTTGCTTTATGAGGTCTACTTGAATAATTTTCCAAAACTTTTTGGTAACTTACACTCTTAGAGTTTTGCTAATTTAAATGATGGGTGCTCATTGACTAGATCATTTTTAAATAAGATAAAATACTGAACCACTACTGAACATGGGTTTCTTGTTTCTTACTACAATATTTGGATGTATTAGTAAACATGTCCTATGCTACAGTGAAAAATTGTACTAGTAGAAAAAGGGTTATGATCTAGAAATTATTATTATTTTTTTTTTTTTTAGAAATTATTAAATGTATTCATAGATTTGCCAATCTACAGAATGCTGGTGTAACATTTCACAATTACTAGAAATTAAGGTTTTTAAGGGTTAGGGATTCTAATTAATATATGTAATTAAAACTACAAGAAATAAGAACTCTGTATACAAGGAAAGTAGGTTTGTTTTTGGTAAAAAGGTATGAGGGCTCTGGCCAGGTGGCTCAGTTGGTTGGAGCATCATCTGTGGGTTCAATCCCCAGTCAGGGTGCGTGTGGGACGCAACTGATTGAGGTTCTCTCTTCCTCTAAAATTTTTTTAAAAACGTGGGGGGAAAAAAGTATGGAGATAGATTTTTGTTAAGGGAAATAGAAAGTTGAAGAGAGAATTTTACTTTGTGTAGTCAAGCTTCCTAAAATGGAGTAAATTTATTACAAGGGTTTTAAAAAATAAACTTTAATAAATTTCTTTCATCTGCTAAAAGGAAAAAATTTTTCTTGGTCTATTGGTTTGCTACTGATAAAAGCTAAAGAAAAACCTTTCACAATCTTAAGTAATTGGCCTAGAAAACAGATTCTTCTCTTATTAAAAGAGCTAGAGGGTTGTTTTTTTTACAACTATGTAACTTTCTGTATTTGCCTGCGAAATTTTTGTCACTTTGGTTAAATGGATAACTATATATTGTTTCACAGTGATATAGAATCCTATTTGACTCTTTCAAAATCTTTTTATATTTTTGACAAATGTTCCCCAAATCAAATTCTAAATTAAGTATTTTGAACTCAAACTCACTTCAGAGTTTTTAAGAAACCCCTGGAACATCTCAAAAGATTTGTTAAACTAATTAGGCTTATTATACAGTCATGTACCACCTGACGCGTTATGTGGAGAAACATGTCATGAGACAGTTTTATGGAACATCATGGAGTATATTTACCCACCAAAATCTAGAAGTAATACTAAAACTTCTTTTGGTTATATCTGTATGGATATATGTTGTTATGTGTTTCAAAAACTGTAAAAAATTTCTAAAAATTTGATACATAATGATATCCGTCATAATTCCGGGTATCATCTTAAAAATGTTGTGTGTCACAGAAATAATTATCTTGTCAATTGAATTATAATGAACTCACATCAGATCTTGAAACATGGCCATTTTTGTCATTTACAGACAGTTACTGTTTTACTTTGATGCTTTTGCAAAAGTGTTCCTGCAAAAGTGCTACATTTTCAAGGAGACTCTAATAAGTACAGGTTTCTCATAACCTTCAGATCATACCACTGAACTGGGTAAGAATCTGCAGACCTCTGGTGGAGAACCCGATGGCTTCCTAAAACTGCTAACCAAAAAGCAAGATCAACAAGAATTAATTACATGGGACTCAATGAGTTAATGAGGATGATTATAACATTGTTGGTTCTTTTGTTTTCCCCCCAGATTTAAGGAAACCTTCTTCTTTTAAGCTATCAATAAATTGGTAAAAAATATCTTTGTAAACAAAGATTAACATATGCAACTAAATTTGTTTTTCTAATCTATCTAATGTAAATTTAATTATGTACTAGACCAAATTTTTCTCCAGATTCTTACCCAGTTCAATGTTATGATCTGAAGGTTGTCAGAAACCTGTACTTGTTAGTCTCCTTGAAAATATAGTGCTCCCTACCTGAGCCCTCCAGAATTCCCACAACTCAGAGACTCTTAGTGAATATTCTTACAATATAGTTATTTGCATAAGTTCAACAAGATTCTTTTCTCCTTGTAACAGACACAGTTAGAAACACTGATTATACTCTGAAGGCTTGAACTGGAATATATATTTGAGAATGCACATAGAAGGAACTAAGGTTCACTTTATGGAGCCAATGAAACACCTTGGAAAACCAGCCTGGTACCTGCTTACAGGGTTCCCAGCCAGCAGCTTTGCCAGGTGAGTAAAGAACATCACTTTCTGCCCTAACCGGTTTGGCTCAGTGGATAGAGCGTCGGCCTGCAGACTGAAGGGTCCCAGGTTCGATTCCGGTCAAGGGCGTGTACCTTGGTTGTGGGCACCTCCCCAGTAGGGAGTGTGCAGGAAGCAGCTGAATCGATGTTTCTCACTATCTCTCTCCCTCTCCCTTCCTCTCTGTAAAAAATCAATAAAATGAAAAGAACATCACTTCCTGGCAGATGCAGAAACCTCAGGATATCTTGGGAACCTCAAGAGGCTTTGAAAAGTTCCAATAAAGCAGATACACAAGAGCATATATAGACGATCACTATTCCTGCTGCACTTATGTAAATAATCAGGCCAAGTTTATTGAAACTACACTTAATGTGCAAACAGATTAGTCTCACTGTGGTTACCTTTGCTAGAAATGGGGTGAATGTAGAGAGAGGAATTATGTTTCAGTAATACGCCTGCGCGGGTATCGGATTCTAGTGCTGTTAATTGTCTTTGATGTTTTGTCCTGTGTTTGATTACCACACATCTGCTTTCCTTACTTTCCTTCCCCTGTAAATAAAAACTACCCTTTTCCTGAAAACTGAATACAAACAACTTGGTCTAAACTTTCCAGAAATCATAGCAGGATATGCATGGGCAATCTTACTGCCTGTTGCTGTGTGAGCCACTCAGAAAGTTTACCTGAGCAGCCAAACTGCAAAAGATGCTTTCATTTGACACCTAGAAATCTCAACTGGCAGCCCTCAGAATGGAGTTATGGTCTGCTCTAGTCATTAACCTTTTTCTTTTGTTCCCATAGAAATGTATCTGATTGCTTACACAATATAGGCCTAACTTTAGGAGCAAACCTGTATCACCGCCTCCTGCAACCAGAGACACTGTTTAAACAGACCTACTCTCAGCACTAACAGGCTGCTTCAGTGAGCTGGAACCATCTACCCACTCAACTTTTGGACTATGAAACTTCTTGGGGACGTTTCAAAGGTGGGGACTGAAAGGAACAGAATGTGCCACTTTGGCATGAGCTGAAGGGAATCAAGACCCAGCAGACTAAGGAGTTTTTCCTGCTCCCTTATCTGTCTAGAAGAATTTAGACAGTAGGCCTGTGCTAGAAAGAGAGCTATTACCAGAGGTAACTTTTTTTTTTCTGAAAGTCTTTTATCTGCAAGGCAGGGCAAACATTGATTATCACACATATGCTTTTCTCACCTTCCTTCCCTTTTAAATCCCTGGCCCCTATCCAGTTCCTGAGCTCAGGATAGTATATAAGCCTCAATTGTCTGTCTTTGAGTCTCTTATTTTTATGGGGCTCCCATAACATGTGCAATTAAATCTGTTTTTCTGTTAGAATCTATCTTATGTAAATTTAATTATGTACTGGACCAGCAGGAAAAATTTTCTGCCTTTACAATGTACACACACATGCATACCCCAAAGTATTGCAAAATTAAGAAAGAGTTGTAACTTCTAAAGAAAGGGAAAAATCTTTTCTTGAGATGAATCATTTACCTAGTTTATGGGTCTCAGACTTCTAAGTCACTACAGAGACAATTGCAAGATGCCTGTAACTCCAAATGTGTACAAGTGAACAACTTGAATGTATTGGAGGAATGTTCTAGAGATTAGTAAAATACACATTATTTTGAAAGTGAAAACAATTTTTTCAAACTACATATTGAAACCATTTGAGCTTTTAATTTTCCTTTTTCTTCAAAGCTCTTAAAATTATATTTGAATTAATGATTTAATCAAAGAATTGGTTAATTAAAATGCATTTTTGACTTCTATACTCCTGAAGTTTATGGGTGTTTAAATGCATAACTACTAAACAAATTTCTGAATTGGTTTTTAAATATTCATTCAAAATATTGGTGATTTTAAATAAGATGAATCTGTTACTTACAGCTCAGTAAAACTCTTCCAGTCATCTTCAGTAATGGATGGCCTGGTGTGACTGAGTGCGGTCAGTAAATGCGACTGACTGATGGCCAGGCTGGTTTTGGTTGGTCCTGGTTGGTGAAGGGAGTCATCCTCCTTAAAATGAAAATGACAAAAAGTTACCTCAGGGACATGATTAAAAAGCAGCAGTCCAAGTGTTATCTCTTTTTGTCAGTGTTTCAGGAGACTTTGTGTCCCTTTCTGATAGGAAGCACACAGCGATTTGACTGATCAATGAGTTTCAGTCCCTTGTTTATAAATATAGCTCACCTACAAATCAAATAAATGTATATCAAAAAAGGAAATACAATCTTTAAAAGTTTTACAGTGATAATGGATGGGGAGAGAAAAGCCATACTCCACTTTGGCTCCGGTATCTGCTCTTGATAACACTGATATCTGCTCTCAGTTGGTCTCTTTGTTCCTGGGTAAGTTCTTGGTAACCGTCTTGTGAAGCTGTTCTGAACATTGGAGGCCGTGAACACAACTGATCTTTCCCAGGAGCATCCTGAGTCATGGAGCTTGGTGCAGACAGGCACAGTGAGCTCTGCAGGGTTAGGTGCAATAATGAGGAGGAGAGAGAAAAAAAGTATGTATTTATCAAAGATAAAGTAAAAAATGTTAAACACTAAAACCTGAAGATGGATAAGCTTATAATTTAATTAACTGAAGCTAAGCAAACTGCTTATCTATAATAATAAAAGCGTAATATGCTAATTAGACCGGACATCCTTCCAGATGAAGCTGGTGCCAGCAGCCGGGAAGGAAGGCCTACTCTTGCACAAATTTCGTGCATCGGGCCTCTAGTATTCTATAAAGTCCATTTATAGCTATGTTGTTGAACCGCCAGAGTGAAAACTGCCACAACACAAGGTTCTTTTAACACTTTGTTATGATATCTACCACACTAATGCCCTCAAGATAGATTCCAAATGAGTTTTAGTTTTCAACAAATATATAAGGTTCTGAGACATTTCTATATAGAAGTTAAAAAACAGAAAAACAATTAATGACTAGAATTAAAATAATAGCTTACTATTCTTAGGAATAAAAATGGATCACTTATAGTTTTAAAAACCTGAATTAACACAAATTTATAAAAAACCAAGAAAAAGATAACTAAATATCTGTAAAAATGTTGTATGTGCCAATAAAGTAACTGCAAGCCACTGTTAATTTTTTTTTTTGGGGGGGGGAATGTGTTGAATGCTATTTTAATACAGTAAAACAATGATACTGCCCATATTTAATCTTAACATTTTTCTTGTGGAAACATTACTACTACTCATAACATTTTTATTGTGCTTATACTTTCCACCAAAAGTGTTACAAATAGATACCATTTTGTGGTCAAAAATGTTTGCATTATACCAACTTTCTCATTATCCTCAAATGCTCTATAATAATAGAATTTAGGTTTAATATAAAATGGATGTGGCCGAAACCGGTTTGGCTCAGTGGATAGAACATCGGCCTGTGGACTCAAGGGTCCCAGGTTCGATTCCAGTCAAGGGCATGTACCTGGGTTGCGGGCACATCCCCAGTAGGAGATGTGCAGGAGGCGGCTGATCGATGTTTCTAACTCTCTATCTCTCTCCCTTCCTCTCTGTAAAAAAAAATCAATAAAATATAAAATAAATAAATAAATAAAATGGATCTGGTACTAAAGATGTCTGAGAACCAGTGATGAAGGGAGATAAACCTGAAAGAAACCAACTGGATACTTTGGCGCCCACTTGTTGCCAACTCTGTCTTAGTTCTTACCAAGAAATGAAAAATGACTAATTAGTGTAAGGAGAACAAGACTGTTTTACTGAAGAACCAGTCCATCAGAAAGAACATGTGGGGCTGGTTAGGAGACAAATCACTGTCCAACTTGACATCCCAACACTATACGATGACTGTACAACATACCAAATCAGAAGAGGTTCCATTCCCAAGTTCCGATTCATAAGAGCTTCCAAAGTAGAGCCGGTACATATTGAATTTTGACTCATCTGGAAGCATTTCAGACATCTCTAGAGAAACAAGAGACTGCTCTAAGCCATACTCTCCATCTCCAGCTGAATCGTCAGAGCCACTGCTGTGGTTAAGAAAAACCATTGAAGACAGACTTAGGTCACTGTCGGAACTGGAACTTCCATCCTAAAACACAAAAGGGCAACCAGTTGTAAAGATCTAAATAATACTAGTACAATTCAGAAATAACACAATACTTTCTAACAGACCAGTACAAGGAAACTTGATGTATTTTTCAAAAAAAGCTCTTATTCTCGAATGGTTCTGAAGACATAATAAAAATTAAACTATTAAAATAAAAAAAAGGTAAGATGGAATTGCAGATAATGTGCCAATCACCTCCCCACCACCCTCAACTCTGTAACAAACTTGGGAGTTAGTTCTCTGATTTTATTTTTAAGTTTCTTTCAATTCAAAATTTTCTACTCTGAAATGACTCAACCATGTTATAGAAGTCTTTACAGATACATACCTTTTCTGATAATAAAAGGGGCAAAATGAAGAGCTTCAGTGGCTTGTCGAAATTAATAACAAAACTTAGTATCTGATTTAGGAACATCAGGCTCTGCAAGAGTCTCCAATAAAATGTAGGGAAGAGGAGTACACAAGAAAACCCTTCCTAGAAAATGTATGATAAAGCCCATAATGTAGCAGAGTTCAAATTATCTGCCATAAAAATCACTATCCGTAGAGAACAGGCTGATTTTAGGGCTGGGGTACAGAAAGTACAAGGTAAATGGAGAACACTCTGTTGTATCGGGAAGTAAGTTAAGTGACCAAAGAATGAGAGGACATATCAAAGGGACACAGAAGCCATCCAAAAGCAGCTCCTATTGGCCAGATCTGGGACAATGACCTTCAAAATAAATATACTTTAGTTAAAAAAAAAAAAAGTTAAAACTAAAAACTCCAATATTTTTCTGACTATATTATCTAATTCATGATATCCCATTTTAAATAATATCCTTCCACACACCAACATATTTTGCCAACAGTAAGGTAAGGTTAACACGTTAAGTGTTTTGTCTTCCGGACGGAAAGTATAGTGTCAGTCACTGGTGACTGATAGGGTGCTTAACGTGTTAAAGAAAAAGACACACCTCTTTCTTCATAATTACAAACTCTCTGCAAAGCCAATATTCCAATGAGGGAACATCTGACTAAAGGTGAATTTCTATCTAGTTTACCAAAGTTGCTAAAAAATAGGAATTTTTTTAAGATTGAGATTTTGATACTGAGCTTCTCGTATCGCTCATAAAACACCTTAGCAACGATCTCAACTAACTTACTGGGAGTCCACAGGACAGCAGCCGTCCGTGCAAGGCCTCTAGCTGGGCATTGTACAGTAAAGCTTTCAGATCAGCTCCCGTAAAAGAGTCAGTTACGGAGGCCACATGCTGCAGGTCCACGTCATCCGCCAGAGGTAGAGGGCCACTGAGAACGTTTAAAATTTCAAGACGTGACACCTGAAGGGAGAAAAACTGATTTAACCAAAAGGCAAAATTAAATATTAAACTCTGTATCTCACCATTTTTAATAAATTAACTTTACATATCTAATAAATGCACCACCAGTCTACTATTTATCCTCCTTAGAACTTTTCCCTAACAGAAGGAACAAAGGGAGGAAAATGAACAAAAACATTCTTAACTATTCAGTGTAAATCATTTCTTATTCAGACAGTGCTTATTTTCTAGATGGGCAAATGTGCTGAGAAAGTGTTTCAAAAGGAAAATTAAAATAATTTAAATAGCTACATGTGACAAAGTTAGGTATTTTATACCTTTGACTAATTTATTTTTTACCTTTGGCTAGTTTATAAACTTGGGAACAAGACTTGGAACAACACAGGACTAAGAACAGTTAAAAATCATATCTTTATGTACCGTCATATGCTTGATTCTGTATCAGAGTCTTTTGCTGGGATAATGAAACGTGTGATCTTTAAACACAGCACATGTGGACATGCAATACTTGAGGTTTCCTTCCTTTTACCCCAACTGGCCAACACTGACGATCATACAGTTTTCACACTTGCATGGAAATGGCTGGGCCAAAGAGAA